GGAAGTAACTCAGGCCTAATTTCGTAATACCTAAATCAGAGTAGTAACAATGGAATTAAAGAAGGTAAGCTGCACATGGTAGAGATTCATGGTTTTGTAAACAGGCTTCCTCTTCTCTGTTCTTTATACAGAGTAATATCCATGTTCTTTGATGTTTGTGAAGTTCACAGTAATAAAAAGGAAATTTTTTTGCAAAATAAAAAGAAGCAGGTACAAGAGACATTTTGAAAAATAAATCAAGAAAATTTAATGAATTTTTATAGACAGGAACCACAGTCACTTGATATAAGCAGGGACATCAGAAGAAGTAGCTGGTTTTGTGGGCAAGTGGTGAATTTGGTTGTAGACATATTTCATTTGAAGTGACATTGTCAAACCCAGTAGACAGAGATAAAACTTGAGAATCTAAGAACAAGTAAGGAGCTAGGACTCACACACAGAGAGGCAGTTGTTTATGCTCTGAGTGTGGATAAGCTCAACAAAAGATAGAAATTGTAAAGAACAGAATAACGATACTACAATAATTGTTTCACTTTGTGACAGCATCAAAGATAGGTTATTGGGCTATTTTGACTATGTTGGCTAGTATAACAAGTCTCTTGTTTTTATATTTGGAAAAGTTCAATGTTTCACTGGCAGTTCTGTTCTTTAAAACAGTGTTTATGTGTCTTGGAAATGACATTACATTGTCCTTTGAAGTATTTACACAATGGGCATGGAGAGGGTCATGGCTCTAGGCAACAATATGGCTATGAATTTTATAGTAACCATTATTAATTTTTGCCTTGTCTGGTGACAAAGGAATCATTTCTAGTTATAACAGTAATTCTTGTGAAGTAGACATCCACATAGTCCAAAAACAAGTGACCCTTTTTTCCCTTTTACATGTAAGGAAGAAATGCTAGATTTATATACAATAGCAGAAGTTTGATTTAGAACTATGAAATTTCATCATGTCTTTGGTGCTTGGTTCATTTTGAGTCATTATTCATTTTCATCTTGTGAATTGAACATGGCTTTAAATGTGAGCTTCTTTTCTTTTAAACAAACTGTCTAGTCTGTCTCTTTCAAAATCCTCCTTAATTTTTTATCCTGAAAGCATCTTATATGTAACTAGTTTGAAAGAAATGGCATCAGCCTAAATTGCTTATAAAGCTGTTATATTTCTGATGGTTACATAAGCATATGCAATTGATCTTAAGTAGTAGGAAATATTTATCATATCTATATTTCATTATTAGTAAAGCTAGAATAATGCCAGTACTTATTAGAGTCACTTAGTTTAAAATATTTTGATACTGCCCAACTGATCTTTGTTTAAGTGGCAACTGGTCTAAATGCCCAGAAAGTGAAACTTCAGGCATATTTTCATTCAGTTTATAAGACTGAAAGTAATTTTCTAATGTCCCATGATAAAAATGTACTATGCTCATTAATTACAGTTTGAAATAAAATGTTTCAGATCATAATTATTTTTAGAATAGATATGGAATATGGAACTGGCAGCCTATTACTTACCTGATGTTTACTGATGATCAGCAGTCAATCAGTTGCGCCGTTATAGATACTTCTTTTGAGAATCCAACAATTTATTTGCTTAGCTGTTATTATTAGGGACTAAGCACATCAGAACATTATTGTATGGGTCTGTGTGTGTTTATATAAGTGCTTACTGAAATAAGCATAATTTGGCAAATTTAAAACACAGCATTTGGATATGGTAGCATCAAAAATAGGTTTTCTAAGTTAGAAGTAATGAAATTTTTAGCTTTGGCAACTAATAAATTAACCAAAATACAAAAATGGCCTTGAGTCTTGGTTAACCACCTTGTGCAGTGGGTAGGGATAAAAATAAAGTGACAGGAAAGGGGAGGAAAACAATGCTATGAATAACACAGTTCCTAGAATATCTGAAACATTAATTTAACTGTCGATACTTGATACGAAGTATTTGTTCAGTGATCAAAGATTTAACAAAATACCAAAGGAATTGAAACTGAAGCATATCCATGTTGAGTTTCTTGTTATCATTCTAACTAGAAGATACAAAAAGTTGTAGTTAAACATAAGTATAATTCAAAGATTCTCCTATACGAAGCTCATAAAGGAGTTGATTCAATTGGTTTCATTATGCCCAAGGAAAACACAAAACATCATTTGGGGGAATACTTGGATGTTTTGTTTTAGGAATACTCATATAGTGAGGTTAAGTGAACAGACCATGCAGTAGGTAATTGTGACTTATATGTCCTGGATTTGGACCTTAGAAGCCAACTTACCCAGTTTTTCATGAGGGAACTGACACCCAAAAGGTTATTACTTGACGTAAGTCACACGTGTAATAAATGTAGACCTTGCATTTTAACTTAGGTCCCCACGACTCCAAGTTCAGTACTCTTGTAATTGCACCAATAGTCGTCTTTTCAGAATCAGCTATCTTTCTTCTGTTACATCATCAACTGGCTAGAGCAAAGATAAAAATAAATATAAATATGAAGAAATGAAAACTGAGAAAAATGCAATTTTAGAAGCTCTAACCCAAACTCTTTAAAGAAATTCTTAATGACTTGACAGTTGTAAATTTTAGAAAAGTTTAACTTATAAACAAAAGTCATAGCCTTTCATAAGTCAAAAAGTAACCTCAAATGGTGAACACTGATTTTCTTTGCCTAGAAGAGAGACATGGAAACAAGAATAATATTAGATTGGGAACATATTTTCAAAACATTATGGAGGTAGATGACCAAAGGCTAATATGGAACAGTAAAAATGATGTATGGAAGATGTAAAATAGATTCTTGTTGTTCATCCCCATTCATGAGTAGAAGAATTGAGTATACAGTAATCGTTATGTTATTAATCAATATATCTATGTAACTGTTAACTGTAAGCAACACTCAAAACTTGATAACTTGTTGATCCAGTGTAGTTCCTATGTTCTCTATTTCTTGTCCCTGCTTCTTCCTTCATGACTGATCCACTTACTCTTTCAGCTTTACTTGCCATTGAGAATGTTTTCTACATTGATACTTCATGGTATAGCCTATTTTTATCTACTATGTGACTTTTTATTGCCTTTTGGATTATTTGCAATTTTTATTCCTCCAAAATTATAGAGTTCCCTGATTTTTACTCATATAGCATCACATTGAGAATTTTTTGGTCCAAATTTATAAGAATAGCAGTGTTGATAACTTTCAGATACTAAAAGAATGACAGGAAGTTCAGAACATTAGAATATATGGAGGATTTATGGAAATAAATAAACAAGTAATGTTACACAACATTAGAAGCAATAGGTTTGTAATCGGCATTGGTGTAGGGAGTACACATATTGATGAAATTATGGATCCCCAAAGTATCAAATATCCGAAAGGATGTTTACAGTTATCAGCTGAATGGATAAACTAGTTAGTAATAGAATGTTTTGTGGTTCTTCAGTAGTTTCAGTTGTGTCTTATTCTTCCTGACCCCATATGAGGTTTTCTTGGCAAAGATGCTAGAATGGTTTGCCATTTCCTTCTCTAGCTCGTTTTACAAATGAGGAAATTCAGGTAAACAAGGCTAAGTGACTTGCCTAGGGTCACACAGCAAGTGAAGTCTGAGGCCAGATTTTAACTCAAGAAGATGAGTCTTGGGGGCAGCTAGGTGGTGCAGTGGAAAAAGCACCGGCCTGGATTCAGGAGGACCTGAGTTCAAATACGGCCTCAGACGCATAACACTTACTAGCTGTGTGACCTGGGCAAGTCACTTAACCCCATTGCCTAGTCAAAAAACAAACAAAATAAAACAAAACAAAACAAAACAAAAAACAAACAAAAAAAAGATGTCTTCCTGACTCTAGACCCAGCACTCCATTCACTGTACCATCTAGCTGCCCTTACCACATACCAGATTCTTATTCATAAGTAGATACTATCTACTAGATATATTTTAAAGTCTCTATTTGTGATTGACTCCATTAAAATAAATATATGTAGCCCTGTACATTTGTGAAGAATATCCTTTGTTAATAATTCAATAGTTTTATATTAGCATTTTTCTTTATAATTGAGTTAGCCAACTTATTTGATCTTTCAAAAACTTCACATTATTTTCAAAATAAACTGCAAACTTCTTGATATTAAAGATTGTATGTAGTTCAGTTCTGTATCACCAGCAATTAATAACTGTCACTTAAAATTTGTCTTTCATAGACAATGATTATTATTAGCATTATGGATAATGTAATTTCCACTGATGCTTATAAACAAAAATAATGTCATTCTTATAGGCTGGTCTTTATTTTAACTTAATTTGTTATCATCATTTTATCTATAGAAGAAAATAATTCATTCTCAGACTGCATCTACAGAATTCACTCTTAAAAAGCTTTAAAATATCTGAATCTAAATCTATGTCTGTTTGAAGTCAATATCTAAGTGAGTCTGGAGAATTCAATTAGGAATCTTTTTTTAAAATGTATTTTTATCGAATACACAAAGTGAAAAATTTATTTATACATTGCATATAATTTTATTCATCTATATGTTTACCTATATATTTATAAAGGTATACATATACCTATATTTAGATGTACTTAATTGGAACTATAGTACATATATATATAAATATGTATATATATGTGTGTATGTATGTATATACCTAAGAAATTATATAACATTTTGAGATTTGGGCTTATGCTAAAAGACTTATTACTGTGATTAATAGTATAGGAATGGGACCCATAATTTCATTGGCATTGGGAAATTGAATATATTCCCTCTACCAATGCACTTTGGCACATTCTCTGAACTCTATACTCTCAGTTGCTTAGAGCACTGAGAAGTGACTTGCCCAATATCACATAGCTAATAGGTGTCAGAAATGGGACTTACAGCAACTGTTTTTGGCTTGGAGGATAACTTACTCTAGCCACAACACCACACTGTCTTTCTGCTTTCAACAATTGGCAAATATACCATCTAATCAACATGAATCTTTTTTTTTCTTTATTTAAGGGTTAAAACAACGTGAGACAACCATGACTGGCAAAACACAGACCAGCAACGTCACTAATAAGAATGATCCCAAATCCATCAATTCTCGTGTTTTCATTGGCAATCTGAACACAGCCATTGTCAAAAAAGGTGACATAGAGGCCATCTTCGCAAAGTATGGAAAAATAGTTGGATGCTCGGTGCATAAAGGTTATGCATTTGTACAGTATATGAGTGAACGACATGCCAGGGCTGCAGTGGCAGGAGAAAATGCCAGGATCATTGCAGGTCAACCGCTTGGTAAGTTAACTCTGGGTTATTATGTGTGTATACCAATTTCTGTGGACACAGAGATTTAATCTTAATATTTAAGTACTGATTGAAGAATACATAAATAGTAACAGCTTCCTCTTTCTTCTCTGACCTTCTCTAGTAGTTTTTATCTGTGCCAGAGTTTAGCACTTGATTTTATAATTTCTTATTTTCCACTAATTGTATCGTGTACAGAAGTCTCTTCTGAACAGGCTGTCAATTCTTTTTGGGGAGTAACTTCTGCATCTTTTGCTTCTATTATATACACTGCTAACTCCTGGTGTATAGTACTAGGCAAATAGCAAGAACTCAGACCTTGTTCATTGACTTAACTTGGTCCTTGTTTTCAAGGATATCATGCATTGCACAGGAAGGTACATGAGTAAATAATAGATTTGGGTTTGGGTTGCAGATTTATTTTGCAACTGTCAAAAGGAGGTGAAAATCTGTAAACAAGAAGAATAGCATGGCCTACTGTGCCTAGCATAGCCCTGCACCTTATATACTATAGGCTATCAATAAGTACTTGTTTAATTGTTTATTGATGACAGATTTAGTAAGTAATCAATAATCAACCCAAAAATCTTTATTAAGTGCTTGCCACATTCCAAGAACTGTCTTAGGTTATGGAAAGACTAAAAAAAAAAAAAGAAATAATCTCTAATCTCGAAGCATTCAAATTTAATTGGGGGAGATAACAGACTTATATGAATATATGTAGAATAAATGAAAAGTGGTTAAATAAAATGTGGTTAGAGAATAAAGGTAACTGTGGGATTGGGAAAGCCTCTCCATAGAAGGTGATACTTATCTGTGTATTGAAGGAAATGAAGAATTATATGAAGTAAAAGTGACAAGGAGTGCATTCTAGACATGGCCAAAACATGGGTTGCTGCATATGAGAAACAGCAAACAAAAAAATTGGCTATATCACAGAGTATGGGGATAAGGAATAATGTAAAATTATGCTGTAAAATAAGTTGGAAATAGATTGTGAAGGGCTTTAAAAGTGGAACAGAGGAGTTAATAGTTTATCCTAGAGGCAATACAGAGCTATTGAAAATAGAAGAGTGATATGGTTTGATTTGCACTTAAAGACAATTACTTTGACAGTTATGTGGAGAATGGTTTGAAGTGCAAGAGATTTGAGGCAGAGTCATCTGTAAGTCTAGGGCAGAGGTAGCAAAATCCTGATCTAAGGTTGCAGTTGTGTGAGAAGAGAGAAAGGATGAGATGCTAGAGATGTTAGATGGAGTTAGAAGAGACAAGGTTGACAACTAAGTGGATAGGTGGAATAAAGGATGGTGAAAAGATGAGGGAAATTCCATGGTCAGTCACTTAGGATTCTAGAAGAATGGTGGTTCCTTGCCAGAAAAAAAAATTCAGTAGAGGTATAGGTTGTGAGGAGAAAGAGAGTTCCATTTTGAACATATGTTTGAGATATATCTGGGATATCCACTTTGATGTGGGGCTAGAGTTTAGAAATAAGGTAACAAAGGGATGACTTTTTAAAGGACACCTGGAATTTGTAGTAAGATGGAAAAAAATGTCTAAAAGGACCAGATTAAAGAGACTGAGAATGAAATATTCTGAAAAAGGCAAATATGCATAATGCAACAAGAATTTTAAAGAGAAAGAACAATTAGATGAAACTCTATACTTAAAATTAAATCAAGCAGTCCAGAGGAAGAGATGAGAAAATATATCTTCCTTCTTTTGTTGAAGAGAGGAGTGAACTATAAATGTGGAATGTTGCATTTGCTATGGGAAGCAAGCATTTTTGCTGTACTTTTGAAAATTTTTACCTTTGTTACAAAGAAAGAATCATTGGAGAGGGGGAATTACCAGAGCATATTTTGAAGTGATTATGGCATACATAAAAATGTATTAATAAAACTTCTAAAGTAAACAAAATTAGGACAACATGAATTAAACAAAATAGCAGTAGTTGAGTCAGTCAATACCAAAGATATTTTCTCTGTACAAAATGCAGCATCTTTCAAAAATAACAGTATTTGTTATATCATAGATAATACATCTTAATGATTGATACAATTCTTCAATTTTCTTATAAAAACTTTAAAAGTTAATGTTGATGGGATGAGATTAGGGAAGAATGTTGATGATAAGCACAAAAATTTAAAATATATGACAAAGACAATGGTGATTTGTAAGCAAAACTCACCTGCAAAATCCTATGAGTAAGTATGAAGGAAGATTCTGAGCAATATTGCCTCATTAAAGATGGTGAAGTTGGTGAATGAAAACCAATTTTTGGAAACTTTGGCAAGGAACCCTATTATGCCAGATGATCCCTATGGAATTTATGGATACAATTAGAAGAAATAAAACAAAGGAACAAAAACTTGAAAAAATGTACAATTTTTCTTCATAACATTTTTCTCCCCTGATAACAGTGAATCTATCACATTTGGACTCTCTAGTATAGTCCCTCATGGTTTATATGAAAAACTTAAAATGGCATTAAAAACCCAAAATATTAGAAAATTGGCTGGGATAGATAAGGTATATTCATCTCTGCTGGATGCAACAAAGTTTGGAGTGTATCAAGAAATTTATTCTCAGAACATCTCATAGAAACACTTGGAGCAAATTATGGACCTGATTACTGGCAAAAAAATGTGATTGAGAAAATATCACTTACTGTTAACTGATATGTCTAGTTTCCAAATGTAAAAAGACTTTTTGAATGTAACCCAAAGCATCCAAGTTTCTGAAAGTGATACTCTACAGCTGGCTGTCTTTATAATCACATGACGAACAGAAAGGGAAGACAAAAGAAGATGCCACTTTGTATTTTTCTGGACTATAATAATCATTTGATTTAGTAGAGTAAAATGCCTCCTTAAAGGTTTTCCTCTCATGGGATAATTCCTGTGCACATGTTAAAATATAATATTCTTTAAAGTTATAAAAATAATTTTAATGATCCTCTTGTCCATATCAGAAAAGGGGGAAATAAATAAGGAATTTCATGTTTCCAGAAAGTGTTTACTACTATTATTGAGGGTATCCAATTCACAATCAAGCTGGAACATAGAGTCTCTATAAAAGGTAATAATCGTCTTTGGTGTTAACATATTGTTATGCATAAAGCATACTGAATATATGAAGTATCAATTATATACATATATTTATATTAAATATCCTTATACATAAAGCAAACACTGTAGAACCTCATAAATGAAATTCAAAATCACTCCAAAGCTTTCAGCCTAACTATCCAGACAAGACAAAAAAAAGTAAATAAAGATGGCTCTCCTCCAAGCTATAATATGAAATTGAATGGATGGTCCAAAAACCTAATCTATCAATACATATATTTTTGACAGACTTTGTAGAAAAACAATTAAATGGACTGAGAATTAAAGAGAAGATCAAGAGTGGACTGGATTGCTTTTGGGAAATTGCTCAGTGCTTTTAGTGACCCCAAGACTCTTTCTAAAATTATCGTCCTTTTTAACATTCTTCCAGCGTGCTCTATGGCTGTAGTTCAATCAGTCTGTCTATCAGCAAGTATTTATTCAGAGCCTACTATGTGCCAGACACTTGCTGTATGCTGGAGATAGAAGCATACATGCAAAAAGGTAATAGTCTAATGGAAGAGATAATAAATACACATATAAATATGTGCACCGTAAATATAAAGTGACTAAATATAAATATGGGCAAATTATTTAAATGCAATGTATCTTTCTGAAGGAGAGCACTTGCAATTGGGAGGATCAAGAAAAGTTTCACAAAGGAGATGATGCCTGATCTTTGTCTTAAAAGGAAGATAGTCGATAAGATGGAAGTAAGGGTGGAGAGCATCTGTAAGAAAGAGGAAAAAGGCCCATTTGGCTGGATTGCAGAGTTTATGAAATGGAGTAATATTTGAGAAGAGAAATAATGTCAAGAGAATATGGAGAGATTGATTGGGTTCAGAAAATTCAGTGGATGCTTTGTGGAGTATTTATGGGAGAAAATGGACAACAGCATGAAAGGATAGCTGTAGATCTATTGTGTTTTGTACCATAGGGGAATGTGCCTACATTGCTGAGATTTCAGACCCATTGAATTTCATATAAAATAAAAGAAAATCAGGGGGGAATCCAAGAGATTTTGAGGAGAGATGAAAGGAGCATTGATAAAATAGAGAAGGAGAATGTGGCCTGGGGCAAATACTATCTTCCATCTCCATAAGAAATGTATGTTGCTTTCCAAAAGACACTGAAGTTTCTATATTCACTTTTTCCTTCTGTTCACCCCAAGTTTCCATCTACCTTTATTTTAGTAGATGATTTTCTGTCATTTGGGTTATTGTTTACTGTCTGATTCACTTTCCAAATTGAAATTGTTATTGGAGGCAAATGTTTATCATTTTGTTCACTTCAAAATGGTTCTCATTTCTCAATTTTTAAGACTGGGTCTCCTTCCATATCTCACCCAAACTGAAACTTCAGTGGCTACTCACAGCCCTAATACCCCTACTTATTGATAAAAGAGCTTTGACTCCCTCTGGCCTGGGCAGATTTATTCATCTTTATCCACGCTGGTGGCCTGCCACTCCCAGGGGCTTACTATACTAATGCCAAACAGTGCAGACATCTGAATGATTTAGCCCACTGCAACTCAGAACTTCTGAGCTCAAGAGACCTGCTGATCTTCCAACCCAACCGTAGCTGGGATTATAAGCATGCACCACCTCTCTTGACTCAATTCTTAATTTATAAATACATCATTAGTTTTAAAGTTAGTGTACAAATTTTAAAAGATAGAATATTACCATCTAATGTTTTTCCAAAGTTTGGTTACTTTAATATCTTAAGTAGTAATTTCTAAAGGTTAACTTTGTTCATTACTTGACTTATTCTAAATTTGGGGAAATAGGAAATTTATTTTGTGCAAAATTAATTTTATGCCAAAAATTAAATTAAAGGTACATTTCATAACTTCATGAATCATAGCTTATCCTTTTAAGGTAT